GCATAATCTAAAAAAGTCAAAAAGTCATTATCCTATTTAAATCACATCATCTTATACATCACTTCAAACCTAACCCATACTCAACCCATATTTCATAAAAAGTCAAAAAAATACACTTATTTAGTTTATCCCAAACAACTACTTAAATGTGATATTTTATTAGATTGAAAAAATTATTTTATCTTTTTTGAACCCGAATGATTAAAAAAAAAGAAGCAAGCGCGAGCAGAACTCTACGCACCACGCGCATGCTAGCCTATCATATTCATGGCATCACTCAAAATACGACTACGTCCCACCACTTCAAATCTCCCCCCACTTTCTCAGATTTTCGACTCGCTTTCTCTCTCTCTTACACTGGTGCTGCAGGTACTCTCTCTCTCTCTAACTCTCTCTCTCTCACTGCTCTAAGAGCATCTCCAACCATACTCTCTAAAATGGCTCCTCAAAGTACACAGAAAACTACCTTCTCTATTTTGTCTATCTAGTTTAGTTAGTGTACACTCCAACTATACTCCTTATTTTAGCTAACCAATTAAACTAATTTAACTAATTTTTTTAAAAAAAATTACTATAAACATTAATTTTGAAAAGAAAACTATTATAAGAGAAAAATAGAATCATTTCCTATCAATTCCAAAGAGTAATTTTAAAATAATAGGAATCAAATCGTATTTTAAATAAATTTTAAGTAATGTATTTGTGATTTCCTCTAATTTTTATCTTTTATTTTTAATATATATAAAAACTTTTTAATCACTTTTATTTATTTATTTATGGTGTGTATTTGATTGAGAAATGGGTCCTCAAATTGTATTGGGGGTCATTGTTTCACACACACACACACCTCACTCAGAGTCATGGCAGCAGCGACCTTTACTGGCTCCTCAAAGACCCTTTCCTCTTCACAAATTCAATGAGATTGGTATTGTTTCTCACTCAATTCAACGAACCCATTCCTCAAAAACCATCATTTACAGTATATTCAAGAACAACAAAGCCATGGCTGCTTCTCTTTTGGGTGCTGCTGGGTTTGCCCTCACCCTAGTAGTGGAACCCGCCTCTGCTGCCGAGCATCCATTGATGATGGGTTCTTCTTCTTTGCCGCTCTGTGAACCCCCAAATGCCCTCTCTTTGCCCACCTGGGCCATCCACGTCTCCAGCGTCATTGAATGGTCACAACTCTCTCTCTCTCTCTCTCTCTCTCTCTCACTATCGAAATTGTTTAATTGATTTTTAAATTCTGCACTTGAAAAGGGTTATGGCAATGGCGTTAGTATGGTAATATGGGAAGAAATCTGGGTATGAATCATGGAAGGGGCAAGAGGTGGGTTGAGAGAGATCGTTGATGGAGAAAAACGAGAAAAGGAGAAAGAGAGAGAAATAGAAAGAGAGTCACCTGAGTTGGCGGGAACACACTTTGCCTAGCAATGGAGGCTGGCTACATGTGGAGAGCCAAAACGAGAAGGGGCAAAATGCCTTGCCATTTGGAGTCCTAGAAATGCAGCTTCAATAGGTAAAATGCATAATTCTCTCCATTTACCTCATCCGTTGGAGATGCTCTAAGGAAGTCCAACGAAAACCCTCTCTCTCTAAAACTCACACTCTCTCTCTCACTGCTCTAAGGAAGTCCAACGAAAACCCTAAATGTAATATTAGGTTATCAGATCTTGTTTCAAAATTTTTGATTTTCTTTTATTTGTGTTTACCAAATTAATAGATCTATGCTGAAGGAAATTGATAAATTTGTTTCAATTTTTTATTTTTTTTTTCCGTTCTTGTTTACCAAATTGGTAGATCTAATGAGATTCTCAGTTGCATTTGAGTGAGGTTCAACCTGATACTCGAACATATACTGACTGTGAAACCGAATAGCATAAGCAGACGGTTTCAAAAGGGGCTTGTGTAGAATCAGGTTGACATTTTCTCCATCCGAATGTTGGCAGCCAGTTGACGGTTCAGGGGTAAACCCAAACTGACCCAACCGAACCGTGTGTTGAATGTTCTGGGTTACTTAGCTGGACTTCATTAGAGCTGTTGTGTGAATGACAAAAACGTTTCCACATGGTTGCTCATCGTTGTACTTGAAAGGTTCTAATTTCTTGATCATGCACTTTTTGAAATTAGTTTACAGATGCCAATACTTGAAAACAAACTATTCATTGGGAGCTTGAAGTGCATTTTGTGATAATATGTTTTCCTTAATATTGCTAGATCCTCCGGAACTCGCAATGTACAAGAACCGTTTGGAAGAGTACACTCAAAAATCATCCATTCCACTCCCAGTTTATGAAACAATTAATGAAGGAGGAGTTTCACATGAGCCAAGGTTTAGGTCCACTGTCCGGGTGGATGGAGCATCATATACATCTCATGATGTATTTTCACAACGAAAGACTGCAGAGCACGATGTTGCCAGGGTGGCACTTAGTAGCAGGAATTGTGGAAGGGACTCACGCTTCTGAGAAAGAAGCGCGATTTTGTGCTTCCAAGGAAGAATCGCACAAGAATCGCGTTTCTAATACGAGAGAATCGCGCTTCTAATGCGAAAGAATCACGATTAGGGCTGAGACCTTCTCTCACGGTCGATCTCGACTGTCTTTATCGCTCTCTCTTCTCTCAGTCTCGATCTCCTCTTGCTCTCTCTTCGCCTCTGTTTGCTTGGTCTCTCTCTTCATCTCCCTCTCTCGTCTCTGTTTGCTTCGTCTTTCTGTTCGTCTCCCTCTCTCGTCTCCGTTCTCCCTCTCTCTCTCTCTCGATCGATCGATCTCCCTCTCCCTCTTCCACCTACGTTTTGAGCTCGAAAATGGTGGAAAATGGCAGAAAAAAAAGAAGAAAAAAAAAAAACCTAATGTCCAAAACGATGTCGTTTTGGGCATTAGGGGGATTAGGGGGGGGCAAATTTTCGAGCTCTCAAGCTTTATTCTAATTATTTAGTCTAAATGTATTCGCACATTCCCTTTCTCTTATTTAGAATGTTACCCTTAAAAAGCTTATGTTATAACATAATGTACAAATTAAGCAGAGATCATGGACAATATGAATTACCAATCAAAAAGCTTATGTTATAACATAATGTACAAATTAAGCAGAGATCATGGACGATATGAATTACACAATCATGTAGAGATCCATCTAAAAAGTATGAACAACGCTCAATTTAGAAAAAAAAAATGCCCATGGTTCTCTAATTTCTAAACATTGCTAGTCGAGGGAAGACGAGGCAATATGTGCCTACCTCATTGAAGCTCTATTATGTGATTATTTTTTAAATTTTTAATTTTTTGGCATTGGATGGTATAACACAAAAGATACTTATTCGTGAGGTTTGTGGCATGCATGATTTCAATTTTCAACTTACTAAGGTTTTATTTTAATATTATCGCTTAGTGAAAGGGAGTGTTGTGTTACACAATGATTCATCCTTATTTCAACTCACTAGTTCAAGTTTTGCCTTGTTATTTTAAAAGGATTAATTGGCTTGGTAGCTTGTGGCTTTCATATGTTCTTTTTTATGGTTTTTACTTTTAAATTCTTGCCACTCAAATTTTGACCTTTGGCCGAGTTTTGATTTAGTTTTAGTTATTACCTAATCGGAATTTTTTTAATACATTTCTTCTCTATCCCACTGGAACAAGGTCTCAAAAGAATTATGAATTATGAAATCTAGGTTCTGGTTGGATAACATAGGCATCGCTGGAAGTAAATAAGAGGTCCTAGCACCCTAGGTTAATTTATGGGACCTGGTATGTCTATTTATTATTGATTTATTCACGTGTCATCGTCTTTGATAGTCTCATTATTGGGACTTTATAATTTATCTTGTTTTGATTGTTCTTTTTACGTCTGATAATCCGATGATAAATGGCTGAATCACTTTCTACATGCATATCCTCAAGTTCTAGGTTCAACTACTTGTAGGCAGAACATAGCCTTTTCGAGTGATCTGGTTTCTTTCTCCAGCCTTTTCTTGTTTGACTTGCGATCAAAATATATTTCATTATGGGCCCTGTAGAACCAAGTCATTGTTCAATTAAATTGTTGAGCCCCTATGTCTTTGTTCGTTGTAAGGCAAAGCTGCATGATCCCGGATGAGTGTGATTAAAATTCTTACAAGTTTGACCAAATTTGATGTAGAGCAGCATTTATGGGCTATTGCTACTGATTTTTGTGGCTGAATGGTTAGTAAATACACGTGTTCTATGGGCTGCAGCACGATATTAAAGTGGCGAGGGTTTGGGAGTAATTAAACATGAAATAATGAAAGCGCAAGGGTTGTTCTGGGTGAGATAAACAGTACCCTGAATGTATCAATCTAAGGAATATGTTCTTGCTTTACAGATTGGCCACTAAGCCTTGAAATGTGGAGTGAGTTCACTCTTACTTCCGGGTGCTTTGAGATAAAAGTTTTGTCTACTGTAAAAAGTTGCATAATTTACTCACCTTCCCTATCCAATTGTGTAGTTTCTCTATTCACTTTTATTCATCAAAAAAGTAGTTTCTTTATTCACCAAGTGGCATGGGACTTGGAGGGACATACCTATGCCCCCATTTTTTTGTTATGTTGCTGCCAATATTGTCTTGAGAACATTATTACTTATTCAAAAAAAAAAAAAAAAAAAGTCTTACCAAGTTTCCTACTAGTAAGATAGAATATTTGTAAATGTTGAGATAAGTAGCTGATTGTAGTCTCTTAGAATTTTGTTGCTTAATTCTGATGGTTACAATTATAGCTAGCTCCTGTTTGGTTCTATGATTGTAACAAAACTTCAAATATGATCTGTATTGCTTCTTTATTTGAATTTGTAATATTTTTTTACCTGTAATAGCTCGAGGAATGAATGGAACTTGAGATGTGTAATTTATAATGTATTGATTGGTGCTAGAGGAAGACTCGGTGCTATATTTTTCAGGGGAATCAATCAGATATTTTTCACTGACTGGCGCTATATTTTTCATTTTTATGGTGTTCAAGTTTCTTCTTCTTTCTTTCTTCTTTTGCAAGTCTATCCTCTCTGAATATGCAGTCAAGATGCATCTGGAGAAACCCACTTACAACACAACTCGGTCAGTGGGGTTGCTTCCACTTCGTGTATCTGCTTTGGTATTCAATAGTGTTACTTACACTGGTGAGGCAGGCAAAAACAAGGAGGCTGAACAGTTGGCAGCACGGAAAGTTATCCTGTCAATTTTGGGTATTATTGCTCAGAATACATAAATATATGGATTGTCTATCTGTGAGCTTACTCTTTGTATATGTATATTTTAGTACAGTATTGTGCATACTTCTGTTTACATATTAGCTTTATATATCAGTTATTTGTTTATTTGTTTTTTGGTTCACCTAATTGATTAACTTACATAGAATCCTGATGTAGAATGGGTAAGGACAGCAGTGACAGTGTGCTTTTGGGGCTGATTTTAATTGGTTTTTATGGCTGAAATTTGCAATAAGCACATAGGGGTTTAAAGGGTTTAGGGTAATAAACGAGTAAGAGTTTGGTTATGAAAAGATAAGATTATGGCACTATTTTGGAGGGTTGTGAAAGTATTTGGACTTTTGAAGTAACAAAGAAAGAAAGAAAAAAAAGAAGATATTTTAAGAATCACTTCTAAAAACTTTAGGCATCACACTTAGGGTAGGGTTGCATTATATAAACCCAAAAGAGATTTCAAAACTCTGAAAATTTTAGAAAATATTAACTCTATTAAATTATAAGTATTACATGGTTTTATATAGAGTTGGGAGGAGACTTTCTAAATCAACTAGAATTAAAAAAAAGGAAATTAGTAAATTATTTTGACTTTCAAAGTCAATTTATGACTAAATAAGAAATATAAATAAAAATCAATTATAACTTGACTCACAAGGTTAGGGATGTAAAAAAAAATCGAAAAAAATCGATTGAACTGGACTAAATCGGTTATATTTGGTCTGTTTTTTAATAAGAATTGGTCTGTATGGTTTTTAAGGAGTACAAATATTTCTTACTAAGTTTTGAACAAATATATAATTTCAAATTATGAGTGTTGCATTTAAAAAAAAGTACACTAAGGAGTTTTTTTTAGTGTTTTTGTGTGTTGCATTGGAGTATGTAACATTGGAGTTTTACGTTTGAGAAAAGTACACCAATGAATTTTTTAGTGTGTTACATTGATGTGTTACGTTATTAGAGTGTTACATTAGAGTTTAGATTTTTGTTCGTAATGTGTGATTTATTCTAGAATGAGGAAAAATCGAAAACTTTTATAGTGCAAATTGTCCAAATGTGTAATTTTATATTTTGAGAAAATTACTTTTATCTCTAAAAAATTAAACCCGAACATGTAAGTGAGTGTTTTTTTATGTAATTTTCACTTTAAGAGAATCTTTGGGTTTATAAGAAAAATGGGATGACTAAATCGTTCATAATACCATATTTTGAGATTTATTGATATTTCACCCTTACATCAATGAAGAGTATTTTTTAAAAAAATATTTTTTACTAAAAAAGCCAAAATACATACCAAATAAAAAATATGTAGACAGAGTGGTTCGCAGCGAAGGTGAATGAGAGAGATATTCCTAGTAGGGGATTAACATCACTGATGTAAACTATGAGTTCCTGCTTAATTGTAGATTTCATACTATACCAAATAAAAAATCTTCTTCTAAAGGAAAAGTGAGAAATAAAAATTTACTTCACTTTTTGCATTTAATTATTGTATTTTACTTTAAATTTAAAATTCAAAATCTAAAACACAATTCTAAAGTTTAATGCAAAGGTGAATGAGAATAGACTATCAAGCATGATATTTAACAACCCGTTTGGTAGTACTAGGAAGTTAAATTATTGAATTTTTTTTTTTCTAATTTGAATCATAAATTTAGATAGTAATTTGAAAATAAATAAATAAATATGAAATACATTTATATTTTATTCATATTTTACCGATTTTTTTTCTTTGTCTTTGTAATCAGTTTTTTAGCTTTTTTAGCCAAAGAAGTCAGTTTTTTTGCCACAAAAACTTTCAAAAAAGGCAAAAAATTAAAAAGTAAACTTTTTATCAACTTTCCAAAACACTACGGTATTTAGTTAGAATTTTAAACTGTAATTTGTTTGATTTTTTAATTTATTTGACCTAAAGAAGTGAGTTTTTTTAAACTACATGGAGAAAAGAGTCATAATTTTTTGAGAGCATGTATGATGTTTCCAAAAAAAGAAAAAGAAAAAAAAGAGTAATGTGAAACCAATTCGTTTGGCTATTAATTTTGGGTTAGAAAAGCCTAAAATGATAAAATAAGCTAAATAAATTAATAAGATAAAATTTCATATTCAAATCATAATCATTATATTTTTTTCTCACAAAAATTAAAAAAGTAAAAAAAAATACCAAATCAAACGTGACTAAGAAAAACCCCAAAGCAAAAAAACTAACTAAAAAAAGTCAAATCATTACATTTTTTTCTCACAAAAATTAAAAAGTCAAAAAAAATACCAAATCAAACGAGACTAAGAAAAGCCCCAAAGCAAAAAAACTAACCAAAAAAAGTCAAATCATTACATTTTTCTCACAAAAATTTAAAAAGTCAAAAAAAATACCAAATCAAACGATACTAAAAAAAGCCCCAAAGCAAAAAAATTAACTAAAAAAAATCAAATCATTACATTTTTTTCTCACAAAAATTAAAAAAGTTAAAAAAATACCAAATTAAACGAGACTAAAAAAGGTCCCAAAGCCAAAAAACTAACTAAAAAAAGTCAATGCCAAACCGTAACTTAATATTTTCATAGATTATCAAAAATTGCACTAAATAAATTTATAATTTATTTTAAATATTTTGCTCTAATAATTAAGATGGTATAACCGCAAAAACTAATTTACAAGTAATACCAAACGGCACAACATTACTAATCAAAATTGGAAGGAACAAAGGTGCTTAAAATACCGAAACCGCGCATAAAACAATTGTTCGTCTTTGCCCTTTTGTAGACGAAAATGGATTAGCAAGGTCAACTTTCTCATAAGCCTTTCATATATACAGATAGGCTGGCCAAATCATAACTTTTTTCAATTGAACTTCTATTTCCATGTGCGTGATTTTTCCCACTTCCGCTTCTGCTTCCACTTCCACTTCCATTTTCTTTTTTTCTTCCTTTTCCTTTCTAGGAAACCAAACATGTGGTTGACGATCTTCATCGGGTTTGTGAAAGATGTTCTTAACTGTCATCATCGATGAGCAGCCATAATTTTTTAAATTCATGTTATTCATGAATCCGGATCCTCGGCAGCCCATTCTTGCGGCTGTTCCTGCAGCAGCACCCCCAAAACGACGTCGTTTTGGGGGGAAATTTTAATTTAAAAAAAAAAAAAAAAAAACCAGAACCGAAGCACACCAAACCAAAGAGAGGGAGACTCGTCACCCAATCAAACCAAACCAAATCAATCCCCATGGAAGGAGACTCACCACCCTTCTGGCCCCAACCCACCACCGCCCTCCTCCACCGCCGCCGCTCCTCGCCCCCGATTCTCAACCCGGTGGTGCTCTTCATACTCATCCCAATCCTTGCTTTACTCATCATTTTCTTCTTAATCCCTTTACTTCTCTCTCACACCTCTCACATCTTCAGACCCAATTCGGTGAAGAGAAGTTGGGACTCATTCAACATCTTGCTCGTACTTTTTGCGATTCTCAGTGGAGTTTTCACCAGAAAAAACGACGATGGATCGAACGGCACTGATGAGAGAAGCGGTACTAATGTTGGTGCTTCGAATGCTATGTTCGATGTTGATAAATCTGAGCCGTCGGGGACGAGTCAGTGGTTTGAGTTGAATCGGAGGAGATATGGGTTATTTGTAGAGAGAATCACAAAAATGAGTGAATCACAAAACCCAGAAATCTTGCTTTTGTAGAGAGAATCAGAGGAGATATGGGTTGTTTGTGTGGTTGAGAGGGAGAGAAAGTTGATTTGGGTTTGTGTAAAGAGCAGGGGGAGGAGCAGAAGGAAGGCAACTAGCCTTCACCTGAAGAAGCAACAACAGAACCAGAACCACCTAATGGCTAAGAACAGAGCAAGGAATACCGGCCGACATGTAGGTCCGTCACCGCCTACTTGGCCGAATCTGCAACAGGCTCTGCAGCCACAGCAACAACCCAGTTAAGGTATGAGAGCTGTTTTTCTTGGAAATACTGGGTCCAAGCGAGAATGTGCTGGAACAGGGGTGTTCTTGCCTCGTCCAATCGGTAGCCCAATTGAGACCAGGAAGAAATCAAGTATGTGCTTTGTGTTGATTTTTTGATGTGGGTTGTAATTTTTAGGGTCTCTGTTTTACCCAGATCTGGTCCTTGATTTTTGTTTGATTTTGGTGCTTGATTTGTTTGTTTATCACATTTATACTGAGTTATAAACAATTTTTATTCGTAATTTCAAGGTTGTTCGACGGTATTGCTTCCAGACAAAATGGTTCAGGCTCTGAACTTGAACTTAGATGCCATGGATTCTTCACCCCAGCTTCAGTCTTTTTTTTTTTTTTTTAAATTGAAATTTCCACCAAAACGACGTCGTTTTGGGAGTGCCGTAGGAACAGCCGCAAGAATGGGCTGCCGAGGATCCGCACTCATTATTCATTGCATATTCATTAGGAGTTGACATTATGATTTCTTTAATTACAAATATACTTCCTAAGATTTAATTAAAATACCAATCGTCCTCTGTAATTAAAATACCAATCGTCCTCTGTAATTTTAAAAATTACATTCTACCTTCTGAGATTTCTAATTTCATAATAAATCGCTCATTTTATTAATAAATCATTAGTCAATTAACAGTTTTTAATGATGTTAAAAATATGTTTCAATTAATAATTTATGTAATTTTATTATTATATAGTAGAGCAATTATGAATTTCATTTTTTTAGCTAATTCTATTAAATAAAAAATTATAACAAGGGGGTATTTCTAATTTTCTAAACCATAAGGGACAATCTGTACTTTAAGCAAATCTCGTGGAATGTATTTGTAATTTACTCATAATTTTTAACCAAAATTTAATTAAAAAAAACTCCTAATCTTTTTTCCCAACTTTTCTTCTTTTCTTTCTCTCAATTGTCCTAGTTGTGCCTAATCTCTTTCTATTTCTCATTCAACCTTTCCCATTTCGCTCAGATTATCAAACAACCAACGCTGATAATTCTTCTAACTCGATTGCCTCT